CCCCGCGCAAATTCAGGTTTGAAATACGATTTGACTGCAAAAAAAAAAAGCTTTCCCCACATACTACAATCCATTCACTCATTGAAGGTGAGGGAACTCCTTTCCTTCCAGTTTATAAAAATCTAAACTGCTTCTAATAAGTAATCAAAAGTCAGTGTACAGGCTATTTAACCGGGGGCATTTTTCTGTTAGATGCAACAACATTTTTAACACATTATTTTCTGACAAAAAAAAAAAAGAAAAAAGAAGACCACTCAATACAAGACTCAAGTACAATGATGCTGTGTGACTTTTTATTTTAATGGTGTGTCTACCTCTCTCATAAGTTATGAATTTCCACAAGACAGCCCAGGCCCAGGCCTACTGAAGGAATTTCGGTATGACAAAGCAAATATCTCATCATGTCTCTTGTGATCGAGAGTTCATTGTCTCATTTTGTTCAAATTCAAAGTGCACTCCAGAAAAGGCACTGAGGTGACAAGATGAGTTGTAAAAAGGTCATATTCCTTGGTTCCTAGATATCTGGTCCACTCTCTTGGTAGTCTTAGACCAAGACAAATGCAACAATGTTGGCAAGGTAAAAAAGATTGTGGAGTCACTGCTGACTCGTTATCCCCACTGAGAACTGAAAAAAGCCACTGAATATTGGCAAGATATGATGTAGCCTATTTGTAGCACATATTATATAAACATTAAGCTACAGCAGGCACCTAGCACACCTCTGTGATTGGCCCAAATATAGATGATGTATTTGCGCCATCTATTTTTGTCTTCTACAAGGTTTCCCTCGCCAGTAACTCTTGACTAGAATATAGATCTCGCCATGTGTTTTTTTTTCTTGTATTAATAGGGTTAGGTGCTGTTGGTTGGCCTGCCATCTGCGGAACGCAGTTGGCGATTAAATCCAGTGACGTAGCCCATCGTGCGTAAAGCGGCCCCACCACAGTAAGATCTCGCCAACTGGGCGCAGGAAGCCCCAGAAAACGACAAAAACAGATGGCGGAAATATGTCATCTAGATCTATATTTGGGCCAATCACAGTGGTGTGCTAGGTGCTCACTGTAGCTTCATGTGATCTCTAATCTAGATTAGTAAATTTTTTTTAAAAGTACGCTTATCGAATCAGATTCAATGGCTAATCTGATGAGCGCTGCTTCAACGTCAAAACTCAAGGAAGCATTCTACATGTTCCAAGAATCAAGTCTACTCTTGTCTCAACTTATTCTCAGATATTCAGACATTCAACACCTAACCTAGATTAGATCTCTAGTCTAGTCCTGAGCCTGAGAGAACTCTGGCCCAGTCAAGACAAGACTCTTTTATCAAGGCCTGACAAGACTCTTTTATCAAGGCCTGATCTATTCTAGATTCTAGATCTGAAACTAAATCTAGATCTAGACTCTAGATAGATCTATCTAGTAAGTCTAGTGTCTCTCTACTAGGCCTATTCTAGATATCTAGATCTAGATCTAGAAATCTAGATCTAAATCTAGATCTTTCCTTTCACTTTCACTCTAATACGGGGTGCCCACTACACTACGGCTGGATCGTCCGACTGCCGTCGCCTAAAACTGAAAACAAATACGCTTGTTTTTGAGGTGATCGAGTTGGGTGATTGGCCGATCTCATCTGTAGTGTCCCCGTATTAGATTAATTTTTACAATCTCTAATCTAATGAAAATTGTTTCTGAATCCATCTCAGACTCACTCAAGGCTACAAACAAGCAAACAATACCATGATCTCTACATTAGTATAAACAATGAAAATCTAATACCAAATCTAAAAACATTCACATGCATGAACAAACAACAGGAATCTAGAAAATCTAGATTACATTTCACTGCTCTACACATTGACTCGATATTCTAAACATCAACGTCACTCATGATAAAAAGACAAGCCGGGGAAAATGGCCACTGGGTGAGACCAGGATTCAGTATGGCGCCGATAGGAGCCAAGATTAATTTGGACCATGTAAACTTCCAAAATTACAGTGTCAATAAATCAAGACGAATCTTAAACAAGTCAATTTTGTATTCCGAAGCTCAACATCTCAAAAAAGTCATTAATTTACAAGGCACACGTGTTGTTCCGCCATACTCAAGGCCTACCGACTTCACTTCACAGGCTGAACCGTGCTGTTCACCCAAGACCACTTTCAGCGATTTGATTTCCCCTATTTTACGTTCGATTAAGAAAAACACCTGCAAAAACGTTTCCAAAAGACTACTGTTAGACATAAACAATAATTTAAAGTCATGGTAAACGGAAAATATACATTATTTCTTACCGATCTTGCTCTGTAGAGTTATATGACATGTTCTTATTCTAAGATTTCTTAGTGAAAAGGGATGGCAAGTAGTTCGCTTCAACCGGATCAAGAAGCGCATGAATATATCTATCCACAAAATTGATTGATACGCGCATTATTATGATTATTAAAAAATCCATACACTTTTTTCCAGATAAAATGTAAAATTACGTTGTTCTGAAAAGTATATGTTATTCAGTGAATTATAACATAGGTAACAACTCAACCCCATTTTCGCGAAAGGATTTCTTTTAGGAAGAGTAATATGGCCGCCAACATTATTTGCGGCTTTTGACGTCACTAGCCTAGCTAGGGGCGATAACTGCGTCATAGTGCGGGCGGGCTGGGATGGGTGGCAAAGTCGGTGACTTTGGCCACAGTGATTGACAATGGTCATTACTGGTGTTGGCTAGGCCTATTGCGTCATTGATCATTGCCAGTTCTTTCAGTGTAGGCTAGGTTGAGGCTTTTTTTCCTCTTTATTTTTTCTCTCTTTCATTGCATCTGAAGATTGTCCATTGTCCCAATCATCTCAATCAACTGCCTATGATTCCAGTTACTGTAAGACGCATGTAATATTATAACAACGATTCCAGGAACTCTTATCTCAGCTGGCCGTACGATCAGGGCGACAGGCATTGGTCAAACTAATTTCGCACCGATGGAACCAAATCTGATAGTTTTGTCTCAAATCAGAGCTGAGTGGGCAAAGCAGTTTCCGTCTTTGACAGGTAGAAACCCTACGAAGGGAAGGATTTTTTTTCTTTCCGTTTCCGCGTTTGACAGGTTTCCGTTTTATAGAGGCCCTAAAGGAATAATTTTTTTTATCAAAGGGGGATCGCGGGGAGAATCCGCTATGACAGGTTTCCATCTTACAATTATTATTATCATCATCACCATTATACCCCCCAGCGCTTCTCTCCCTTCTTCACCCCCCCCTCTCTCTCTTTCTCTCTCTCTTTCTCTCTCTCTTTTATATATATAGCTCGCTCTGTCTTTCTCTCTTCTACTTCTCCTCCTCCTCCTCCTCCTC